TTGTAGGTCTGTGTAAGCATACTGGTCTGGTTTTGGTAACATATCAGGGTATCACTTTTTAAATGACGCATGTAGTTTGAAAGTCAGTCGTGTAATCAAGTAACGTCACAACTTCTTGGTTCAAGAGCTGGCGCTTCAGGTCAACGGAGAATAGCACGGTTAGTCTCGTAAAGTAAATACATAGACTGACATCATACTTCTGCTGAAGAATTAGACGTGAAGCAAGGCTCTGTCTGATGATGAGCTGAATGTGCCAGACTTCCCATTTCGATCTAAAACTTATCGTATCTAGAACATCGATAGTGGTACATCTGTAGCAATGATATGCAGTGGTGTTGATCCTGAACCTCACGATCTTTGAAGCTGAACATATAATTCCTGCGATTTACATTCAACATGTCGCGCTTAGAGACGGCCAAAAATGGAGGAGAGTAAAATTGATCGGTTTGGTATGACTAGGTTTGCAGGTGTGGTCATTCTTTTAATTCATTTTCATCCACATTGAATATATTATTATATCCTCAGCTTAAATGTGCTCCTCAGAAGAACTAAACACCATTTTGCGGATTTTCATAAGAGGCCGAGTCAGCATAAACAGTGATGTGTTTTCCATAAAAAATCTTATAGATTTGATGGTCTCATCACGACAGACCTACGGTTTCGAGACCCATTATTATGATATTAAAGGTGAATGTACTAATAGAGAATTCGATCATAACTCCATGAATAGGTCTTTTGATTAGTAGAAGCTGTCTGAGGATGACTTTTTAATTTAAGGACTTTGAAACATCTGCTAGTATATCCTTGTGTCATTATTCGAATGCATTAAAGCATAAAAAGCCTTCAGAACGTACTGATTTGTATTCTCTTTTGTGAAATACAGAAAACCTAGGCTTGCATCGAATGTTCTAACCTGTCTTTATTGCACTTTTGGTAGTTCTAAAATATTAACGAATATCCTCCGCAAGTTGTGCTGTATCAACAGCGAATGGCTAAACCAATATACAATCACTTTCGTTAGGTGCTCTTTTGAACTATGAAAAGCGTGACACTGCAGTGGTATCGGATCCCAACTACACACGTCCACAAGCTGAATGTATAAATACTGAAAAGAATGGCATTCAACACACAACACCTGAAGTAGGCCGGTAATAGTTAATGCGGCAAGAATCACTCAGGAAGGCATGGCTCGACCATGTAGACGTGGTCATTGTATGTAAAACGTATCGTATTTTTATTAAATAGGTTGTTCTCTGCTGACCCCAAATGTGTCCTTCAGAGGTGCTAGACAATGTATTGCTGATTCTTACGATAGTACGGGTTTCTGTAGACACTGTTATGACCTTGTGGTGGACCAAAAAGTACAATAACAAAAATTAGCGATAAAGTTATTACGTCCAAAAGTTAATGTAACAGTAACAATTTTAAAATTAGTAACACAAAATAAAAGTTCAGGGACGTCACTTAAATCAGCTAGTTGTTGCGTGTTTCGTTGAGTTTTGGTCCCAAAAATCCACAATTATAAATGAGTAATAATTCCAATGAGGTAAATACGACTCCAGTAAGTTTCTTTGACGTAGGGTGTAATAGAAATGGCACAGCAGTTTGAAATGTGGATAATATTTGATTTAGAATCCGATCAGCTTGATAACGCGTGAGAATAGAACAAGGAGCGTGTGTGTGTAATAGTGTACTTGCGAACAACCAAAAGTGTGTCACGCTATGTTAGTATCACAACGGAAAAAGTGGTCAAGGTCATTTACTAAAACAACAGGTACAATCATTTAATGATAAATGTACATGTAGTGAGAAATTGACAAAATAAATACCAATAATATTAAAAACTATTTACAAAATAAGCTTGCCAGACCTATCTCCACAACCTCCATGTAAGATCTTACTTATTAGACAGTCACATCATGATATATCTATAATTCGGGAATTAAGTTTCTTGTTATGTTGGTGGAGATAAATGTATCAACCCCGAGGTAGACCATAATTCAACAATACAAAACCTGCGTGTGGTATGGTTTTTTCCACTTAGTGCACAATGGTGAAATCACAAGCATTCAACTTCAAATTTCATCTCTGGATTATGTCGGCAGATGACCAACGAAGTGACTTCCTTGGATGGTAACTCAATTGCAACGCTTAGTGATCAGTTACAAAATGGAATTTTATATAAAACAGGTACTTGTGCAATCATTTTACTGTCATTACCACAGCTAAAACCTTCTTTTGGGCCTGAGAATATCCTTGTTCACCCTTGGTTAATAGTATCGAAATAAAATTAACGGTTTTCGCATTCCGCTGTAGAATCATACCTAATACCAATGGGGATGCATTTGTAGTAATGATAGATTTTTCCGTCTATGAAAGAAGTCTGAGACTGACCTTACTATTAAATACTGCTAAGAATTCCCTTATTTTAACTGGTGTCGTTGTTCTCATACAAATTCTTTACTAGAAACACATTTAAGAGATGATGATAGCATTTGTGCAAACTTAAAAATAAATCTGGAATAGAATTGAATGAGATAAATGTACAATCTTAGTGCTGAGATATTCTTAGGTGATTGTGCTTGTATCATTTCAAATTTAAAACCATCAGCATCTACAGTACAGCCCAAGCAGTTGACCGAACTAAGTTGAGACTGACACTTGAATAGATTGTCGTCCATATATGTATCTCAGAAGCGTCTGAATAAGTTTAAAAGTTGTTCATTCTGTTACTTAATATTTCCAAAATGTGCTTCGGTAGCATCTTTATACATTTTGATACCATTAAGACCTGTAATAATCTGATTTTTAACCTTCTGAAATATCTCAAGGGAAACATTTAACCCGAATGGCAGGAACTTGTATCTCTACAGCCCGAATAGGGCATTAATAGATGTTAGTTCACTCGGGATTTTATCTGGTGGAATTTGCAAATTTTCACCTTTCATGTGTATTTTCGATTAATGCCTTGACCCTCATAATTAATAAAGAGTAGCTTCAATTTCTTGAGCGGTGCAACTCTGTTGAGATAGATCGTACAACAGTAGCCGATAGGTCACATTAAAGCTTACGATAAGAGGAATATGAAATATGCATATAGTCTAGATACTTAATAGTTATACAGTGGAGATATATGTAATAATAGTTCATAAATAATTTCCAGCAGTAACCAGTCATCTATTACCCATTAGGATAGAACAGGTTTCACACAATGGAACTAACAAGTACCCATCTTTCTGATCTATTTCAGAAAAGTGGAAAAGCGTCTTTAGCTTGTTTAGTGGTACAACCGTATTGCGATAGCCGAGTGTTTAGTTTCAAGTGGTAATCACCAGAAGTTCCAAATGCTTTATCTCCCACTTTTAATGGACTGACATTGTAATGCCGGATCTTTGCTTTCCTCAAGGGAATGTTAACTGTACTAATGATTAGTAACTGATGGTCAGTGATACTAGTTACCGTACTTCTTTTAGGTTTCAAATGAATATCATCATAAAGAAACAACAAATTTCCCGCGGAAATAATTGACTCTATGTTACCAAATCCAACAGTAAACGGATAGAGCTTGCATGTGCGAGTAATCAATTTTCGCTTTAAATGTGAGTTGCTACTGCATTTTTCAGTAAGTCACGAGTTACTTCTTCTGTCCTAGTCAACTGATTCCGACCAAAAAATTTCAGTATCCTTATGGTGAACTATCCAGTTTTTTCACACTTATGGGAACGTGTATAGCAAGACCAAAATGAACTATGAAAATTCAGTTTACTATATGAAAGACAGAATTCAATACTCAAAGGACAACTAAAAGAGCTTTCTGAATACTTCACATGCTTCGCTGAATCGGAGCAGTTCCTGTTAAAAGTGAGAGACTTCTGTAATGTAGGAGATTTATTCATGTTCGATAACATAACATCATGCTGTTTCGTGAACGCACCACAAAGAATGTCAAAGTGTTCATGAGTGAAGAAGCGAACACGTTACCTGAAGAGTGCAAGAAGGCATTCGCATAAGACGCTTCTCTAGTTTAGGACCATTAATATGGTTTATCATGCTGTCAGGAAGTTGGATATGCAATCGTTCATCGGAGTCGCATTAAAGCTTGTGCTTTTGAAGCTGTAGTATGAAGTCAATTACAGCAAGTGTAGTGGTTAATCAACCCCTGAAATACATAGCACGGTAAGCCTTCGACGTCTATGTTAGCCTCATTATTTTACTGGACAGTCCAGTCGAAGGAACTCAGTCACACATCAGTACCAAACCATGAGCGGGTATGAACTGCTATTCATACGATGCAACTATTAGCCAACATAAATCAAACACTTCCCAATACACCGAATGTCTTCCAAATACGTCTTCGAGCTCATTCACCCTTGATATCTGACCTGGGTGTGTTGGTATACCTTGATTATAAGTATGTTAAGAACGAAAGTGTTGCTAAATCCTGAATATGTGTTGCTTCTGTATGAGCGTGAACTACTTTGCTCAACTGTAGTCTTTCGAACGTTTTGAATGATGTTACGTGAAAATGATCCACTGATAATCTCTTAAGCTTTTTGGATGGAAATGAAAGACGTGTTTCAGGATGTAGAAGATTCCCTGAACAACTATACGCTCTTCCAATAAAATCTGTTGAGGAATGACCTGAGATGTGGATTTAAAATAGTCTAACTAATTACGACCAATTCTAATTGGCCTAGAAATTCGGCAAGGCACAAGTGAGAAGTCGAAAGTGAAGTCACCAAAATAAAACTGTGTTGCGTTGTTATGACAGATTTAAACACGAAATAAGGCATTTAGTTGTGAGGTAAATGTAACTGTTTTATATGCAACTAAGTTGGCTCGAGGTAGCTAGTAGTTTTGTCAATAACTTACTTAGTTGACAAGCTTTTGATCTATTCAAATATAGTTAGATCTTCACTAACATGCAAATCAAAAAGCTTGCTACACATCATGCTGCCATATCTGTTTCTGTCGGCGCACTCAGGAAAACTTTAAACCAGTGGAGAGACCCGAAGTGCTGAAATAGTGCGGAGATAACATCCTTCTGGTTCTATCAGATAAAGTTTAAAATAACTATGCTGAGTTTGGAATTGGACGCTGAAGTCCTTTCGGTACTCCCGGGATTTCGAACGTTTGCTTTGTAAGTGTCTAAAATCATGGTCATTAATTAATGTGGTGTGTTCGGTTGATATTAGTCATACTCTCTCGCTCTTAATCATAACCACTCCAAATATGTCTGCGAAAATACTGAGATCTACTTGAGTGTCATGTCTTTTTTTGAACGAGTCAATTAAAGGTGAAGACGCAACTTATTTGAGTAACAGGTTCCAAAATCGATGGCTTGGTGTAAAACCTGCATGCCACAAGCATTTTGTTTGTTATTGGTTTTCGTTTTGTGAGTTGTACCGATCTTGTTGGAAGGAAGAGAAGATAAATCAGGTCCAAAATTATCTCTTAGTAATCTATATGTTAAAATCGGCCTACTTGATCTGCTATGGGGTACAAGTTTTCACCGTTCAGGCGGCGCTCGTTTATTTCTGCCTCTGTTAATCGTCTCAATACAGTCAGCCAGGTTGAAATATGTACAGACATATTCTGAGTCCAATCAGTATAATGCTTCTTTCTTAGCAGTAGTGAAACTAATTTTTAAGAGGCTGCTTGCCTGTGTACTTTTGGAATCCACTTTGGTCCCATTCTATAAAGCCTAAGAAAGCTAGCTCCTGTTACTGTTTCCGCTGGTACGTTGCTTATCAAAGATTTAATACGGCTTGCTTGGTTTTCAGACTCGGCTTATGGTTCCCTTTCGAAGGACCCAATTTTCTGTGACATCTGTTTTGATAAGCTTTGGTCTTTTGTTTCTTAAACTCTTCTCATCACTACAGTCCGGCAACGGAAATACAAGTCTTAATTTTTCCCCTAATTCTCAAGGTGCTGCTGTAAACCAAACATTGACTTCATTTTGTATCCTAATCAAATCTGAAACGTTGAGGCTTTGCTTCTACATGGTCTGTTTTGGGTTGATAAGAGGGTTTTATAGTTGAAACCATCGGCCCATACTTTAGAGTTCTCTGTAATTTGTTTCTTATTTGCGTGCTTTTCCTTTGTAACCATGCCCAAGTTTGTGTATCTATATTATAACATCTATTGGTCTCGCTAATGATAAATGGGAAGGGTTGTCAGATAGTTATAAAGGTGTTAAAATATAAAATGGTTAGGTTTGATTTAAACATTGCTTTTTCCTGTAGGTCGAATGTTATAAATTTATTATGAAGCAGTCTACTCTTGGTTCTCATCTATTCCCTGCATTCGTCTAAACCATGTGGATGCAGTATATCTAATGTCTTTGTTATGAGCTTGTTTGAGTTAATTGTTTCCTTTGCCATCACTTCTTGTTTCCGTATGGTTCCAGGTCTTCGGTTATATTGTAAACGCGTTAGTCTAGCCACTCGATTAAACTAATCCTGGTTACTTTGATACTAAGTGCGTTTGTTTCATGGCAGTGGGGATCCTGGATATAAGCAGCTATCAAATTAACATGTAGGAGGTTGATTGGGTGCAGTGTAAATAGCAATATAAAGAAAGTCTGGATGCGAGAGAAGACAATTGTTTCAAGAAATAAATAAGTAAATAATTGGTTGGTAATGCAGACAGTGTGGGAAGAACAGTGTAGGAATAATATAGAACAAGGAAATGATAATGAGGTACAAATCCTTGACTAGGTGATCATTTTCCAGAAAATTATTAAGTTTGAGGGCTCTCCATCCTCACCTCATATTGTGGCTTCACTCACCATTCAGAGTGGTTTTATGCGCGACTGAACATGTGGGCGACACCACGAGATGAGGTAAGGACATAAAAATCCCAAACAGATTATTTACTGACAAATGATCAGCCTTTAGTCAAGGATGTCCACGTCCACAAACCAGAAGCTTGGATATCAGCCAAACCACATAGGGATCCAGTCAAGTTGAACCCAACTCTCTACTTTATACTAAGACAACTTGGTTCAATCAACCCAGAACTTTTCCTAACTCTTTAAAGCATACTCATGGCTCCATATTGAAGTCCGTAATGTTGTCCCTCTCTCTCCAAAAGAGCTATAAATCCCCTGGACCAAGTACAGAAACGGGTAACTAAATGAATGATGTCTAAAGAATAAGTCTTACTAAAATAGACTTCAACACGGGATTATTCTCGTTTAACTATAGGAGAATAAGTGGTGATCTGATAATGTCATACAACAAATTAAGTTGTCTAAGTCACACCAACATCCTAATAGAACATCACCATTACCGCATTCCTCGAGGCAACTCTTGAAAAATTGCACATCAAAAAGCCAAAATCTAAGAGACTATAGCCTTTCAGTGGCTAACTTCAATAGGAGACTTAACGGAAAAGAACTCTGATATGTGGATAGATTCAAGGATTGTATAACCAATGAATAAATAGTATGTGTTAGTATAGACTGTTCGCTTAAATGTACAAGCAAAAAAATTTTTTTTTCAGGTTTTACTATAATTTATAACTTATTCATGTTTACTGTCAAAAACATAAGGATAACAGTACTTCTTATCATTATTTGTCTAATTTCTTTGGTCTTGAAATGGATTCTATCATATGTCACTGAATTTTGTTTTTGTTTTTTCATTTTAGAAGACTTCAAAGATGTCAGAAGGAAACAAAATGCTGCATCCTGAATTCGCTGTTCGTCCATTAATGTACACTGGGTACGTTGTTTTCTAAATTAACTATATTAATTTTCATTGGAGCACGGGGGCAATATGTCAATTTAACTCAAAGAGCTGCATGACTTGGTAGCAGTCTAATTTCAAAAAAATTCTTGTTTATCTGTATACTAAGTTGTTAGTTATATCCATTGTTATTTGTACATCACATCTGGTGATACCAAAGTAGGCACACCATTTTTCAGCATTAACCTGTAACTCATAGAATTTAAGTGAAGACCTTAATCATCACATTTTCGTAAACAACACCCCCGCCACGAGAAGGCAATGAGTAGGACTTCCCTGGCAGAGGCTATATACGCGTGGCCATGTGAGAGCATTTCGAGAGAGAGAGAGCGGACTCTCCCCACTCTCGGCCGTACCAGGGCATTTAGGGGAAAGTGAGAAGCGCCTCCGGGAGTGTAGACTAAATTGTTACAACTTGAAATTTACATGGGCTTCAATTTCTTAATGTATAGTAGATTTTTCAGTCAGTCAGTCAGCTACAATGTAGGACCAGGCACATATATGCATCGGTCTAAGTTGTCACACCTCAATAGCACAGCAAGATGAACACTAAATTTATAGACATCGTTAATTCAATGGTGGTAATATATAAAAGAGAGATTGTGTATAAGGATATAGTAGAGGAAAAAAGATTTAGTACGTAGAAAAGAAGATATGAAGCGATTATAATCTCATAGTTTAAGGGAAGACAGAGAGTGTACACACCGACGCTGTTCTGATCGATTCTGAGCCATATCACCCAGAGTCTCCGATCACTGGTTACGATAGTCTCGCGGCCCCTAACCAAGTAGTCTGCATCTACCAACATGGCTCAGATTAGAAGTTAGTGACTTCAAGCACTGATGCCGCGTTTTGGTTTGGCCGCCCCTAAATTCCAGCCATTTCCAACACTAGTCAGCATTGTGCGTCGTTGTAATCGGTGTTCAGGCACACGCAACACGTAGCCCAACCATCTCAGCCGATGAACATTCACAACCTCATCAACTGGTTTACCTTCATCCCCTAATACCCTGTGTCTAACCTCACTATTACTTACCTGGTGATCCCAGCAGATGCGAGCAATATTTTCCGGCGACTCCTAGCTTTTTTCTCACTCATACTTATTATGTTCAAGACAAAATTACTACTCAATTACTAGAGATGGTAGAGGATAGTTAAATATGCAACACAACTTCTCGAAGCTCAAACACGAAACCTTACAAAACTATTTAAAGAATTTTTCGCATCGATATCTTTTATCTTGAAAATAATTCACTGCACAACCTCTCAGTTTATCTCCGCCTTTGTAATTAGGTTGTGGTGAATGTGTTTATAGTAGGACCCTAGTTTGTGAATCAGTAACTGCTGTGTATAACCTAAAATAATATAGTAGTCTTCAGAATTTCGACTCTTATCCACTCTATGTGGTAGTGCACATTTATTGTGTACACAACCCATGGCATCTGTGAGTTGGTGTCAACCTGGAACCTGGGGACAAAGTGCTCATCGGTCCATTTAATCATATCTCACACCAACACAGCTAGTGAAAATCAATAAGATGGTAACCATAAAGGACGTAGAAGTAGTTCAAAAAAACACTTTTATGTTTTGTATGCTATTAAATTATTGGAGTAAAAACCGAATATTTCTTATTTGCCAAAAGTATCCGCATCCGTTTACTAACTATAAGTTGAGTGACTCACGATTAATTGCATTGTTTGATGACTATAACTTATCTGATATTCATAAGGACAGAGGGATGGTTGCTAGCAATGAAACCAAGGACGCGCGTCTTGTCCTATTTGGAACTTTTTAGCCAAATGTGTCTACATCCTAAAGTTGACATCCACTCCATAACTCTAACCCAGTACCGTTTGCTTTAGCTCATCCCCTTAGCTACTAAGTTCAAGTAACCACTGACTTGTGCAATGAGGTGAATTTTAATTCGTTTGTATTGGTTACTTGAGTCACGGGGTGAGCATCGACTCTGAGATGTAGGTACATATATCTGAATAGTTCCAAACAGAACGAAATGCGTGTCCTGGATCCCATTGCTAACCACCATCCATTTCTGCTTATTATGCTTGTGACCAAGTGAAAATATCAAGACAATCCACACAGGATGCACAAATACCAAAAGAGATTAATCAATCACAGTCCTTAATATCAATGGAAAGATCCAAGCAAACAATACATACGAATTATCTATTGTTTGATCTAGCTCATTTATTTCAAGTACTATGACTTGTGGTAAATGATAAAACCTTGGAAACGAAAAGATAAAACTACATGTTGCGTCTGTAAAATGTCTAATGAGGATAGATTTCATGGAGTAACTATTTACAAGTTGGTATATACTTCTCCAAGTCATACTGTAGTGAACGAGAATACAAGTGGAGTCAATCAAATGTATAGGAATACAAAATTACAAAACATCTTAGTAAAATCTGAGAATCATAAAGTAAATACTTTATTTGCAAAGTCTCAATTAATTGTCTCAAACTTGACTGTTCATTTTGCAAATATCAATCAATCGTCTAAGACTTCATTGTTTTTTCGTCTCCATATCAATCGTTTACCGTTCTCATTCTCTTCTCTTCGTTCTTTTTAATATTCTGCCACCAGACATTTCACTTTCGATTGATGATACATACTACTTATATCTATTGACATCAGTAGCATACACCACAATACATTTAAAATCTATGTAGTTCTAAATTAATTACATCTGTTTATTCTTATTTATTTATTTGAACATATAAATATTGGTACAAGGGGGCACCAGATACGCATGCGCCACATAAATCTCATTTGATTTGTGTGAGGGCTGTGGTGCTGCCCGTGTGCCCAGATCGAAGCACGTGGTTTTCTTAGGGGGCCACACTTAGAGCCTTCGACCTGAAGGTCTGATTTACAAGGCAGTGGAGCAACGTCAGGAGATACAGTCCCATGGTAGCTGGTCACCAGCGATTGGTTCATACGCCATTTGTTCGATCTTGGAACCCATGTACACCATTGGCTTGGAATGAGGGTTTTCCAACTGCCTTTGGTGAATCCTCCATATGCACCAACCCCGTTTAACCCCCCTGCCAGACATTCGCCTTTCGTTTTCTCAGTTTCGTAAACAACATTAATGCCGCGAGAAGGCAGTGAGGACTTCCTTCTCAGTGGTTGTATGCACGTGGCCGTGTGAGAGAGCACTTGGAGTGGGAGAAATGACTCTCTCACTCACGACCGTACCAGGGCATTTGGGCAATTGCATCTGTGCTGAGAATTAAATACTTGGGTCACCTAATTAAAGTTCTTTCTGGAAATCTACTAATATACTGTACTTTTTCTTAAGTAAAAAATGTTTTATCAACCAGTTTTGAGCACTGTTTTAATCCTCAAACTGAGGAAATAATCTTTAGGACAGATTTCTTATTATTTATTATTACATAACAATTTTTTTGAAACTTAACGACCATTTACTCAATTGCAAATGACTGGCGTGTAACTTTGCACCTGTTTTGGTGTTTTTTATTTATATATCTATAACAGTTTAGGTGATGTGATTGGTTCTACTGTATGGTCAAGTGAACAAGCATCATCATTGGCCGCAATTCCAGGATCTAAAGTAGCAGATTCAACTAACTTTCCACATCCGGTAGCTGAATCTCTTGCAAAATTTGGTAAAGCAGCTGAAAAAGCTAATAGAATGAGAGTTTTAGCTTCTGCTCAAGGTTTACATGCACCATTACGTTTATCTATGGAGCAACGTATAATGCAACGTATTCAACCTCGTCTACCTGGTTTATATTCTTATCATCCTTTGGCTAGTCAGCTAAATGGAAGTTTAGATGAGATTGATGTAGCTGACTTTATTAATCGTAAGTAGATTTTGTTTGGTAACATATTGATTTGTCTTTTGTTTTTCCAAATGTCATCGATACCATTATTGATACAATGGAAATTTACTGGTGTTCCTAACCTTCATATATGTTATTACTGTATAAAATTGGCATTGTCTTCCATTTATTTCATATCACAACTGTATTTATTCTTTGGTCATTCTAATGTTTCGAATTGACGAACTAATTAATGTATATGAACAGTCATGATCGGTAAGAGTATATTCCTACGTTAATATTATTCGATTATCGGTGTCTTCAAAGCATTGCTCGTATATCCTGGGACCACCGGGTTAGTAATGCAGTTGTTAAGAAATGGGTACTAGGTAAGTGTTGGGATATTTTTCTGAATATCCCAACACATCCCTTTTTGTGAAGATCTGGAGTTGATATCCGGATTTTAAAATTTTCCGCGTCCATCCTCCCCCGCGAAATAATGTCGGGTCCTCATAAACCCAAATTACAATTAATTTGACGGCATTTAAAACATATTGAACAGGGAATCCAGTAAGACTGACCAGATAGTGAGGATAAACGCCATTCAATCCGAAGTCATCAGAGTTTGGATCTTCTGGAACATTGTCATCGAATTTCTTGAAAATCTCATTAGTAGATAATTGATCACTGGGATAATCAGCGTGTGACAAAACTGCACCAGGTTCTTGACTATTATTTGATGCATGTGACATATTTTCTGGCAAAACGATGGGATCTTCTTGTGAGCTGGATACCTCACTGTCTGTACATGTTTCGGGGACAGTGGGATTTGAACTCGCGACAGGGCATGTTTCTGAATTGGACATTTCTGGACCACTGGGCGGATCATGAATGGCTGCTGTGTCGTTTGAAATACGATTTGTCGAGGATTCATGGAGGCTGCAATCATTTCCCAGCTCACTGTGCAATTGAGAAATCAACCCATCTACTTCCGTCGTATCTCCAAAGCATGGGTGATTCAGCAGCTGCGTGCGGAATTTGACTAAGAAAATATGTCACATGCATCAAATAATAGTCAAGAACCTGGTGTTGTTTTCTATTTTATGGTACGATGTGGTCTGCTTGATTGGTATATAAACAGAGTATGTTTGAAATATATTGATTCATATCTCAGAAGCTGACTTGCTTTCTGGGCTCAACTGGCTGGGCTAGACAGGGAAGCTGGGTCAATCAGAACTCTAGGCCTTCCTTACGTGTCTGACGCGTCTTTGGATTGATCGGTACTTCGCTAATCTCCAGTCTGCAGCACCTTCACGTTACAACAGTAAGGATGGCAAATCAATTGGCGAATTAGTCGAACTTCATCAGTTGAGATGGCTGGGACATGTACTACTTATGCTCAACCACCGACTGCTCCGACGTGCGATGTTTTCTGGTGTAGGAGTAGGTTGGAAGAAAGCTAGGGACGGCCAGACCAAAACACGGCACAAATCCATGATGTCACTGATAAGTGGACTGAGCCATGTTCTTAAGTGTAGAATAATCACCTGGTTGGGATCCTCGAGGCGATAGCAATCGATGGTTACAGACCTTGAACGACATGGCTCAAAATCATTTGCAATGGTGCAGGTGCATCCACTCTTTGTGTTCTCTCAAATTCTATTCTTCTCAATTCTTCATGTCCCTTGTTTTCTTTCCAAATTTGTTTCACTGGATTATACTCCTTGAATAACATCTTCAAACCCTAATGTTTACGATTATTGCTTATACTCTTACTACCTCTACCATTACGGAATTTGAGTCGACACTTGTATCACTGTTATGGTGTATCATGGCAACTCGAACTGATGTACGTACGTACGACGTTTTACGTTGTTACTGACTGACTGATATGAACACTCAACATTTCTCCAGCACTGATTTATACCTAACAAAAAGAGAAATTATGTTGAAGTAGTGACCAACTAATTGATATTTAACTGAAGGATTTGTATTATTGTCTGATGAGTGTATAGTGTTTATGACATTTATTTTTTAAACACAAATATTGGTACAAGCAGGTGCCAAATATATATGCACTACACTTCGTCATTCGATTTGTGTGTGTAGGAGGGAGGGGTTAGAATATTACCTAGATGCCCAAACTAAAGCAGGTGGTATTTTTTAGTAAACCACTCCCAGAGCATTTCACTTAGAGGTTTAATCCACAAGACAGTGAAGTAACGTCAAGAGATGTAATCTCATGGTAGCCAGTGACCAACAATTGGTTCATGCTCCATTTGTTCCTTTAAGATCCTGGAGTTCATGTACACCATTAGTTTGGAATGAGGGTTTTCCAACTATGCTTGGTAGATCCTCCGTATCCACCGACCTTATTAAAACATCGAACATTCGCTTTTCTTCCTCAATTCGATTTCTCTCCACTCTCGACCGTACGAGGACATTCGGGGGCATAATTCTCAGTGTTTCCACAATCCATTGTCTGTAATGGCTGATGAGTTTTCGTAAAATCTATAGTTTTAAAAAATTCTCATCAGATTTCAGTGTTTATTAAGGCGAACTATTAACTATTATAAAGAGTGAAACATGAAAACTATCTCGTCAATTTTAAGAATCATTTGGCAACATGCTTCCTCTCAACTTTCGGGGTTTCTTTCATGTTTTGAAGTTAAACCTGTTGGTCTCCGGAACAAAACGTTTACTGGAAAACTTAAAATTATGGTAAGATGATGAACTATAATGTGCTACTGTTGCTTCTTCCCAGTAATTCTTTAATCACTGTCAATCTCTCTACATACATTTGTAATCGATCACATGTATAATTTAAATCGTTACTTTATTACCATCCTTCTTTTTGTTTTTCAGCTGCGGAAGATTCTGAATCTGTTGGAATGCCCCAATTAATGATAGAGCATAAACTTGGTCTTTTGTAAATGACAATTGGTTTTCTCCAATTGAATGGAACAGTTAGTCTTTCTTGAAACTATTATTGCAAAAAAAAACTAATAACGTATACTATTCTACCATCTTTGTAAGAAATAAACATGTCAATTATATTTTTTAACATCCAATGTTGTTCATGTCTGACTTCATGATCTTGCACAAATCTTCATTCCTTGTCTGAGATGTGTAACTGTCGCACACTCGACACGGATTGAACTCCACTGGTCGCAGCTTCTCACTAGAACTCCAGGAAATCCATCTTGAAACTAGTCACTAGTGAGCGCATGATTATTATCCCTGTACTAATAAGATATTGTGTTTATCATGAATAATGGTTATATTCTCTACTGTCTTGTGTATGTATCTGTGCATGATATGGTTAATTTCATCGTATAGAAGGATTAAATCAGAAGTCTGAAGAGTTGTTGAACACACGAATTACTTACTTATGCCTGTTACCCCTTATGATGGAGCATAGGCCACCCACCAGCATTCTCCACCCAACTCTGCCCTGGGCAATCCTTTCCAGTTGTATTCGTTCCTTTGATGTCTACTTCCGATTCCCGACACAATATATTCCTTGGTCTTTATCTTTTCCTTTTCCCTTCGGGATTCCAAGTTAGCACTTGCTTCGTGATGTAGTTTGATAATTTCCGTAATGTATGTCTTATTCACCTACAGAGTGTTTCTTAATTTCCTCTTCAGCTTGAAGATGGTTTGTTTTCTCCCACAGTAGTCTGTTGCTGATGGTATCTGGCCAACACCACCTGTAGCTCTTTTAGGTTTACTGCCGGCCCGGGTTGGGCGTGGGGTCAGCAACGCCATCCCGTATAAGACAATCTTGCTAGAAAACGCTAACCAGAATAAATAAATGAATCGCTTGAGAAACATTCGTTTTACATGTGTTACTGTTTAGATGCTAAATGGATGACTTGATCATAAAATAACTAAACAATTTCGTAATTGGTATTTTGACGAAATCCTACCTTTTTGTAAATCACTTGGTCAAATGTAGCTGTATTAGATGTACAAATGAATACTTGTTAACTGAAATTCAAGTCGAAAACTACGTTTATTGCCGAGTCATTTGAAAAAAATCAGTGAATATATCCTAGATTGAGGATGTAGAAATAGGTCAGAATATTGCGAGTAAGTTCCTTAAGACTGATGTCTATTATGGCTGTTCATCGACTCAGGTGGCTGGAACATGTGTTACGTATGTCCAACCATCACCTACCTCGACAGACAATGTTATCTGCTGTAAAGAAATAAGTTGGAAGGAAGTTAGGAGCGGCCAAACCAAGACGACTATATTCCACGTAAGATTTTAAGTAATGAAGTTGGTAATGTCATTCTGGATTTCCTTACGGATGATACGAAGAAAGTTACTACACATACATCAGATACTCCAAGACTACACTGGAAAACTATCCGGATAAATAGGACATAAGGAGCTAACTTATGGTTCTGAAAACGCAAGACACTTCTTTCAGTGTGTTCAATTTTAAATAAGTCACTCAAATTCATCCAGCTACCAAGTTTGAACACTGGGTGGTAATGTCGACAGACGCTTTTAGTGTCCAAGATCATTGAACAGTTGAATTCAACTATCAAAATGCTTTGTCACAGTGTTCCAGTCATTTTCTTAATTCTAATGGAATAGCGATATTGAGAAATAGTCTACTATTTTGACATTGTAGTACAATGCTTCTTGTAGTGATATGTTGGAGAAGTTACACGCTAAGACATGTAAAATGTGGAGAGTAGTTCATAAATGCTCAATAACGTAACCTAATAACAAACTACAATTTTTATTTCAGCACTGCGAGTTAATGTATCCGGGATAATTGTCTAAATGCTTCAAAGTCAAACCTTTGATTATTTACTTTCAGCCAACATAAAATTAGCTATCAGGAGTTGAAGATGTTAACTGCAAAACTGATTTCCAAGCCTCATTCCGTAAACGTATGCATCCATTTCCATTAGGTAGCGAAAACAACCTTCTGCATATCCTGTTTGCATGTAGCTCGTAGTGAACATGTGTTTTACAATACTCAGTTATGCTTTACTGTATAGTATCTCGAACTTAATTGCTAATCTGATGTGGTGGCGTTGAGCTTACACACCGTGTCAACCTGATCGAATCACATTGGTTGGAATACGTTGCTTCAGGTGCTACCATGCTAGATAAGTGTCAGTTGGAGAAAGGCAACATGAAGAGCGACCAACTTAAAGCTTTAGAGTAAACTGTTTTCGGGACGTGACAACCGCCCCCGTACTTCGCTTAACACTCGTGATCACCTTGATTGATTACTTGGTAGTTTTTGATTCCCATTCAAAGTGGACTAAAATTAGAAGGTACTATTAAGAATGGCGAAATCTTTATACAGTATTAGTTAGGTTTTTCGATGGTCTGGAAACTATAATTCATTTTTGACAACGGTCCCAGTTTACATAACAATTCTTTGTCTATTTTTGCTACCGATACCTCATGAACCATATACATTATCTTCCATTCCAAATGAAGTCGACATAAGAAGTCTGGAACTCGACAGGATAAAAGTTTTATAATTTTGCAGAGATTTTATTGATGTAGAAGAATAATTGCTAATCTGTGATTTACTTACAATGCTAATAGCCCCCCTTAATGCCCTGGTATAGTCGAGGGTGGAGAGAATTAACTTTCCCTCTCGAAATGCTCACACATGTCCACGTGCATACAACCACTGCCAAGGAAGTCCTACTCACTACCTTCTCACTTCTGGAGTGTTGCTTATGACATTGAGAGGACGAAAAGCAAATGTCTGGTGCTTTAACGAGGGTAGGTGGTTATGGAGGATCAAATTAATGGAGTTGGAAAACTCTCATTTCAAACTAATGGTGCACATGGACTTCTGGATCCTGAAGGAACAAATGGAGCATGAACTTATTGTTGGTCACCGGTTACCATAAGACTACATCTCTTGATGTTGTTCCACTGTCATGTGGATTAGACCTCTAAGTGGAAGGCTGGAGGTTTGACCTCTTAAGATAACCACCTGCTTCGGTTTGGGTATCCGTGCAGTATTCCAGCTCTCACACAAATCGAATGACAAAGTGTAGCGCATATATATTTTTGGCGCCTGCTTATACCATTATTTATGTTTGTTATATCCCGTTGAGAATAATAATGAATGGTAACTGTTGTGATCTATTTATGGACTAATCCTATACCTTTTTTATTGTATAATTGTTAAGTAACTAAACTATACTTATTCACGTTCCTATTATTATAAGCATTATTTTGACTTAAAGACTATTATTATATGATTTACCGTTCTTGAGTTATGCCCAGTTTATCAATTATTATCCTATATTCACAGCCACTTTTGGCTAGATCTTGTACAAATATTGTTCCCTATTGTGTGGTACGATGTAGTCTGTTTGGCTTGTATGTTTGGAATACTTCATTTATATTGCATAGGCTGGGATTGGTGTTCTGAACTCAATAGGCAGGGTTAGGAAGAAAGAAGGACCAATAAGGACTCTAGACTGCTCGTACAGGTTTATGCGTCATTGGTCCGTTTGACAAGTCACTGTTCTCTAACTGGCGGTATCATTACGTCATATAGATATTAATAGAGCACAAGTATACGGAGGATTCACCTAGGATAGTTAGAAAACCCTCATTCTAAATCAATGGTGCACATAGACTCCAAGATCCTGAGGGAACAAATCACGTATGAACCTATTGTTAGTCACTGGCTTTCATGAGATTGTATCCCTTAATGTTACTACACTGTCATATGGATTAGATCTTTAGATAAATGACTCTGGCAGTGGATCTGGACAGTATTCCAACCCCTCCCTCATCATACACACAAATTGAATAACGAAACGTAGCGCATATATATATACTTGGCGCCTACTTGTATCCATATTTCTGTGTTTAAATTAATCAACACAAGGTCACAAGTTTGTAATAATATGTTTAAATATGATAAAATAAATAATGACAAAATCAAATGATTTAATATATTGTTTTGTTTTAATGAAACTATTATTGATTATATGTTTCACCGAGTAGTACACATAATGTTCGACGATAATCACCAGATGTATCATCTATTACTGCATTCAATAATGATTTACCATAAATTGATTCATATGAATTCATTATATCTTGAAGATCAATCTTGGTAATGTATTGGAAATCATTCCAGTGTGTATGTGTGTGTGTGTGGGAGAGAGAGAGGGAGAGGTAAACGGAGACAAAGAATAATTTATTTATATGGAATTAATCGAATGTACTTTAAAAAAAGAAGTTAAAAAAATGGATTTCAGCGAAGGGATCGTCCGATCGCGTCTATGTACATCTACCAGTTTACCTGCTGTTGTGGAGCCTTAGCCAGTGATTACTTTCAACATAGATACGGGAACATATCCTAATGTTATTTTATAAGGGTGAGAGAAAAGCAGTTAAGAGTTTCATACTTGAACACTTAATCAATTGTAATCATTCTACGGATCCACAATTTGATTTTAAGGTTGGAAATATGATTCGTTCAAATTTATCTAGATTTCTTTGTATTCAACTCCTGAACATAACCAAAGCTCTTACTATCTATGAACTCAAGCAAGAACTATACGTACAAAAGAGGTACGTCCTATCGTTATCGTTACCGTGGCCTTAATTATTATTATTACTGCGTCCCTCCTTTTACTTATGTCTCATATTGTCATTATTTCATTCATAAGTACTCATGATATCACATTACCTATTTATTTACACCTCTATGACCCTTATCGACTTTCAATTAATGTAACATAAACATTTTATCATCATCTTACTACATTGACGTTATAATTCGTTACTGATTTACTAAGTCTTTTGTTATTTCAATGGTTGAGATAATGAGTCAATTGAAGCTAGACCTGGAAGCAGCGGACGATCGTTTTGTCCTATTGTAGGACTCCTCAGTAGTGCGCATATGAAATTCCGCACTCAGAACTCGAAACCAGAACTTATCGGTCTCCAGACCATTGAGCCGGCATCAACCAATCCACTAAATTGTGTCACCGTCCACCATTGTCTTCAATGAGCTACTATCTTATAACAAACTTGGTCTTGGGTTCAAATCTCGTG